ATTAAATTGTGTTTAAGAGTTATTAACATATTACAAACAATAATATGCCTAATTTTTAAGTATTAAACGTATAATGTGTTATGGGYAGTTAAATACAAACAAAAATGTATGAGGTTGTGAATAATTACTAAGTTTAAACAAATTCAAATTAAATATTACATATCACAGTGTGGTACCACACTATAGGATACAATATATATATTATATATTACACTTATAATGATAAATATTATGTTTTTCTTTAAATCTTTACTAACTGTTTGACATTAGTTAYGAATACACCTTTGAGTATTCGCATCCAGAGAGACCACGTGRAGGTTGTCAAACTTTCTCTCCACACACAGACTCCGCAGAGATTTTCCTTGATCCTTGGGGGTCACACATGCCTATAAACGAAACATAAAACCGTAGATGGTTTTCCTTGATCCTTGGGGGTCACACATGCCTATAAACGAAACATAAAACCGTAGATGGTTTTCCTTGATCCTTGGGGGTCACACAGGCCCGTAGATAGTTTTCCTCGGTCCTTGGGGAGTCACACAGGCCCGTAGATGGTTTTCCTCGGTCCTTGGGGGGTCACACAGGCTCGTAGATGGTTTTCCTTGATCCTTGGGGGTCACACAGACCCGTAGATGTCACATAAAGCTGTAGGAGATTTTCTTTGAAAGTTGAGGGTCACACAGGCCCGTAGAGGAATCTACAAATAAACTTATATTACTTATAATACTTCCCTGTACACGATATTCTTGGTGACGAATCGACCGTCATCACCGTACATGCCTACTCTCAGTGATTGTGCGTTTCTCACTCTCGAAAAAGCTACGTACAGTTGCCCATGCGTGAACACGGGCGACGGCAGTAGCAAACCCACTCGATCAAACGTCTGACCCTGTGACTTATTGATAGTCATGGCGAAAGACAACCTGAATTGAACACGCCGCATTATGATGGGCAGGTCTTCGCTACTGGACGTGAGCGGTATCGCTGGCACGATGATATCTTCCTGTGCGTCACCGCTCAAAACCCTGGCTTTAAAGTTATGATGACGCAGTTCGGTGACCAYCAACCTCGTACCGTTGCACAGTCGTCTCTTTGGATCTAGATTTCTGAGCAACATAACAATTGAACCCACYTTCAACGTCAGCCGGTACGGCGGCAAGCCGTCTGGTTCCAAACTGTTGAGGAACTCTGTGGGGAAATTGGCCACTTCGTCKGGATCGTCGACGACCACAGTGTCGATGGCGGTGTAGCTCCTCTGARCGCCGTCGACGCGTCGCAGCACGTCCCTGTTGACATCTCTACAATCGTCGTTCCTGGGACACAGAACAATTCTCCGAGCAAAGTCGTCGACGTTGGCCAAAGACATTTACTGCGGATAGACAAAATCAATTAAATCGGCAACGTCACATACCATATCTTGAGGGATTAGCACGGTGTCCCGAACCCCGTCGACCGCGGGCAGTTGACCGTTTCCGAGCCGAAGTAACCAAGTCGCAAATTGCACGTCGTTGTCGGCGCGCATGTTGCGCACCAGGTTGAAGCGTTCCATACCGCCCCATAGACTGTTGTGTTTGATCGAAGACATGACGATGTCACCTCTCGATCCTCWTCGGACTACGGGCAATATCTGTCTGAAGTCACCTGCGAACAACATGGGCTTACCACCGAAAGGTAATTCTGATCTCATGACGTCCCTGAGCAGCCGATCTACCACAGTCAGTTGCAGTCCTGGGGACATTGGCGCCGCGTYGCGTATCCTGTGCGCTCGCTCGGACTGCATGGTGATGGTCGATGTGGAGTCGTCGGTCAGAGTACCGAAGGCAATCCGAACGTCGAGTGCACGGTCATGCCACCATCCATGAGAGACGCCGCGATCCCGGTGAATGCGACGCACAACACCGACTGCCCTCGGTTGCGGAGCGACCATATGAGGCATCCGTACAGCGTCGTTTTCCCGGTACCACCGTGTCCGTCGACGTAGAAAGTTTTCGCTACGTCTCGACCGTCGTCAACGGCCGCCATCACGCGGTCGAACACCGTCCGCTGTTCGGCGTTCATGTCGTCCGATTGTTGGACCCACAGTGCGGCCGCGTCGATTGTGTGGAACAGTATGTCGTCCTGTTCCGATTCCAGCATTAGGGGGTCAGGCAGGGGAAAACCGTAGTCGCCCAGCGACTTTCCCTGCGCACGAAGTAGATCTCCGATGGCGTTTAGACACGCGGCTCTCGCGCGGTCGACGTCTTGGAGGCGCCGATTGAAATCCTCCATCAGGTTTGTTTCGTTCRCCTCGTACAACGCCAGCGGGCTCGCAGAACAGAAAGTTCAGTCTGAAAAGAGCCCTTTTAGTCAGTCGCAAATTGGAATCCGAAGAACTGTGTGTAGGGCCGCTAGTATTTGCATACGGCGTATTATAGTACAATTGCCTCGGTATTATGTCGTACAATGAATATGCACGATRTATACACGTCGGGAACGTCAACTGTCTCCCCGTGATGGTAACGTCGGTTGCCGCCTAGTTTTGACGAGTGTCTTCGCTGCGGTATCGTCGGTTGTCGCCTTGTTTCAGGTAGATGTTGACGGTAGTGTTGTTGGCGGACGAATGATGGCGTTTCGTAAATGTGACCGGCTTATATACTGTGCCCCGTACCGACTCGTAAACCACAGGTGTGCCGCCGTGCGTAACTGTGTTTCCCGTCGGTACGGTTTGCCTCCCTATTCGTACAATTTTGGGGTTTTGATTATGGTAATATTATTTTTTATTTCGTTACGGTCTCCTCTATCCATAGCTGTGTTTGTTATGAATGTCCAGAAAATGACCAGAAGGTTTTTTAATTCGCCACTTAACTCTTACGGTGGTGTCGTTTGTGCGTGCTGTGTTGTGATTGGTGGTCCTGAGAAGGACCGTTTTATGTGGTTATAGGAACTCCGTTACACATGTAATTATATATTTAAAAAATCAACAATAAATAATAATGATAGCCTACATTATTTTACATTTATGGGGATATGTAAAGATTGTCGGGCAAAGATTAATGGATGGTCTGATATTAAACCTACTGAGAAAAATCAAGTTTAGGAAATTCAAATTGTAGCTGATAAACCGAAAAAATAAAAAAAGAACCATGTAACCAAGATATATTGCAAAGGAGTTGAAAGAGAACAGATTAGTCAAAACCTTTTGCATGATCTGCCTTCGAATTGGCGATGGAAAAAGGTAAACGACATATGTGACTTTGGTGATAAAATACCACATGTATATAATGACATAGTGTTAAGACAAGCGAAGAATGAATACAAGGCAAAACAACTGGGAATAAGAGAAACAGATCCAATCCAATCTCTGGATATTCTTAAGCAGTCTTCACAAAATGGTTTGATTCACACAATAAGTTTAAATTAATTTTTTGTGCATTATTGGTCACCATTTCAATTAGCTGTAAATAAAGCAGCACATAAAAAAGGTCATTGCAAATTGGCAATTGATGCAACAGGTAGCTTAGTTAATAAAATCAAACGGCCTACTGCAGACTTCCATCACATATTTCTGTATGAAATAGTTGTATATGGTCATGGATTCCAAGTTTCAATTGGAAAAATGTTGAGTGAAAAACAGAATATGCCTACCATTCAATACTGGTTACAAAAATGGCTAATGACCGGAATTCCAGTTCCGAAGGAGGTATGTTTAATTTATTTGTTACATAATGAATCTATTAACTTTCTTTAATATCAATACTTAAAAAATGTATAGGTAATATACTATTAAAACGAAGCTAATTATTATTAGCTAAATATTAACTAAATTAGATAAAATAAAAAATTAATTATGAAATACATTTTACGTCTATATAGTAAAAAAGAAACTTATTTGTGAGTAATTATATCTAAATAAATAACTCTCCTATACTTATTTTTTACCCTCCTTATTACTCATATATTCCTTTGATAGTCGATGCCAAATAGGTGTATCCTCTGTCACMAATTTGACTTTACAATCTTTCAAAGGATTAGCAAAGTTAGTTAAATGTGACAACTCGCATAAGTTAGATCCCGTCCGGTAATGAATTGGTTGATCACCCTTACAAAGTGTATATGTTCCTAGCTTTACACATGATTCCCATTGGTTTACCCCAAATGAGATAAAATTTTCATTATCGTTACTTAGTGCTAGGTAGTCGACCTCAAGGGAAATCAGGGCTATGGTATTTTTATCGTATTGGATGGGTAATGAAATAGGATGATACATGGTATACTCCTCCCCAGGTGTTAACGGTATGCCTATGGAGAAAACTAAATAATGCTCCTGATGAAAGATTGTTAGTTCGGATATTTGTAGAAGTTCTGTTAAAGATTTGAGTTCGATTTCCAATGGCAATGCTGTTCCCAACGGTAGATTCATTTTAATTTCTCTCAGTTCCATAAGAAGTCTTTCTGATGTAAACACGCTGGTATGTATTTTTCCATTCATCGCTGAATTAATTATATACATTAAATTTTGGGTTTGGTACGAGTACTGATTGAGTAGAATTTCGAAAAGGAGCGCCTGTTCAAGTAACCTTGTCTTGAACTCAATCCGGTTGAGGTTCTGTATAATAACTTCCGTTTGCTTTTGCAAATATTGCAGATTTCTTTCGAGTTTTTCCTGGTGCTGTGATATCTCTTTTATTTGATGATCCGTTTCTACCCGCATGATTCTCATTCTTTTCGAGTTTAGGGTGATATTCTGATTTTTGCTTTGAGTTAAGGCTAGTATCTTGTTAAATATGAACTCGATGTCGATATTCGAGTATATGCCTTACAAGGCATTCACCACCTGTTGGACGGTGTGGACCAATCCTCGTCGTATCCTCGTTTTCCCTGTATCCTTATCTCCAATGGAAAGTAACATATTTCGGTGATTGGTTTCGATTTCATACAGGTAAGGCAAAGTTGCTCTGGCAAATAACTGTACGAATTGCTCGCATGCATTGGATATTTCTGTACTTCCGAACCGCTGWGTCATTAGTTCGCAAATTTTCGCCGGCTTCATATTGTGACATGATAGTTTGGTATTTGTAGCTTGGCTCTGCAAGGTTCACGTATGCTACTAAATTCCAATTGAAATACGACATCTTCACTGACCCATGATTTTCGAAATATAATCCCTGATGATCTTGGAACGACGTGATGTTATAGGCATTTGTGGACTCAAAAAGATGTTCTGCTTGATACTGTGGAAGTTCAGCGGTGACTATGAGAGGTTGAAACAACATTAAAACGGTGTATGATAAATACCGCTGCATTCTGATTGTGTTTATACTCGATTGTTATTGTTTACCGCTTGATAAGGATGTCTTTGATAAGAGTGCAGCTGCGACAGTCGGCTCGTCCCACTGACCCACTTGTTCGGTGGCGTTGTCCTTGTCCCACTCCTTCGACGGCGGTGCGTACTGGGATGAAGACTGCTCCCTGACGGTAACGATGTGTATCACGGCGGTGGCGGCGGCGACGACGACGACGACGACGACGACGACGATTTTTGTCACGGTGGCGGTGGCGACGATGTTCTGACGACACTAGCGACGGCAACGATAATATTAATAACGACGAAGCACTAACGAACGGGCTCCTCCCAGACGSACGGGGCGCTATTTCGTTATTTTACGTACGAGTGCTTTGAACGGGTTGCCCGCCACGGTGGCTACGACGCGGCACTGTGTATGTTATCTTTACCCGACCTTGGCGACGTACGGCTACGCAACACCCTCATAAAGTTAGCAGCACAACTATGACAGACACTAATGAAACACATCCAACAAATTTGTTGGTGACTTGTTGRACATTGTTGGATCACTCCCGGAATTTGTTGGACATTATTTTCGCCGGTAGAGCTTTTCGAACTTTT